ACACCACACCACACACACACACACATATACATACACGTGTACACGTGTGTGTGAACTTACAGTATAAGTCTCAGTTAACAATATCATTATTTATTATCATTTTTTTAGCATTTAGTAGCTATATTGGATCCGACCACTTTAAAATTTGATATGATTACAAATTCGTTATCAGCGACTGAAAAAACACTGTAATACTAGATTTTATGAAAATAGCAATCGATTTAGTATGCTTTAATTAGTGATTTTACTATTTATAGTTCGTTTTCCTCAGATTTTGACCGCCGTATTAGGTCCGTCATATTGGTTTTCTAAAAAGGCCAGGGTCTAAACAAAAGTACATGTATATAGCTGTAAGATAAGCCTAAAAAAAATTTTTTTGTTGCCCCAATTTTTGAACAGGGGGTGTCAGATTTGACAAAGAATGCCCCATATATATATATATATATATATATATATATATATATACATACATGAAAAATGAAATATACATAGCTAGACAACTTTTTAAATGTTGAAAAATGAAAAATATTATGTAACTTTTAATCTCGAAAACAACCATGCAATTAAGCTCCGGTACATGTTATACCTTAAAAAATTATTTAAATGCTTCTTAGGAATGGAAAGTTTTTTTTAGTTTAATGCTTCTTAGCATTAAACAAAGTTAAAACTAGTAGTCCACATTTGAACTTTTTCCTCTTTGTTTTAATCTCAGTGTTAGTTGATATAAAACCACTTGTTATAAAAGTTTTCATTAATTTTTATTAACTGCTATTACATAAAAGCAGCAATCTCGATCTATCGTTACGTAGGTATAAAATATACTTCCGCGCATTTCTATACGCCTCGATTTCATTCTGCGATCACTAATTATTTTTAATAAAGAGAACTTTTTTTTCCAATCATACGATCATTATATCTTTGTCGCTAACTTCTTGCGCATTAATGAGCAACAAGATCTCTATTCGCGTTTTAACACTTAATGCGTACACATACGAGTGAAATCGTGTCTCGTTTATTGCACGATTGATTCTTTCACTTTCAACTTACTTTCCATTTCGAACTAATCCAACATCAATGTGGCACTACGATCTCATAAACGCAACTTTATTACGTCGCTCGTTAACAGGTGCCGCTGATTCTAGCGCTTTGCGCAATTAGTTCTCATTAAGAAGTGAAATTTGTACATAGGATGCGAATCCCGGACGTTCAAGATT